ATGGAAATTCTGAGATGCATAAAGATAGATATTATCATCAGATATTGTAAATTTGTTTATAATATATATATATATATATATATATATATATATGTTATGTCTTAAACAAAGTCTTTTTATACTAGTAGGTTAAGACAGATCTGGGTCTGTTTGGATGAGCTGTTTTTTTTTAATTTATTTTAAAAAATAAAATTGTATTTAAAATATCATCTACAATAATATATGAAAATATTTATACATTTAAAAAAATAAAAATGAAAGTATATTAAATAACTAATGATGACTGGCGGAGGTTGTCAATAATGGGGGGCAAGAAGTGGTAAGACAGAGGAAAGGTAATTTTATTGGAAAATAAAGGATATTTTTCTGAGTATCTTTTTGTTCACTTGTGGGAAAAAAAGGACACATTTACATTGTGGATTTAACTACTTTCATTTTGCACTTTTCTTTTTGTGGGGCATCAACTGATGACTTCATGGTCTTGAATTTTTTCACTAAATTGTTTTTTTTTTTCCGTTTTTCTCGTTTCTTTACCTGATTGGGACTTTTTGGTACGCCAACTAGGTGGAATTTCGAAAAACAAAAAATTCCTTGTTAATAATTGACGAACCTCTCCCAGTCAAAAAGAAGCAAAATATGAATTGTTTGAGACCCCACCTTTTAAAACGACAACAATGATGTCTTATACTCGTTTTTCTTGTCATCTCCAAATTTATTATACTCGCTCGTTTTTCTTGGATCTGATTTTCAAAAGTTCAATAATTCAAATTGTGTCACACCACTATCACATCAGTGGTGTGGCACAATTTGAGCGATTGAATTTTTGAAGAACGGATTTGCTCAAATTTTGGCCACTATATCTAGGCGTGCAATATATAATTCATGAGAGTTGTAACGGCTAAAAAAAAAAAAAAGAACATATCATAATTTTAGCCCACAAGCTATATTGTCACCCCTCGCATTAAATTATCTGATTTTTCTTGTCATCTCCTAATTTATTATATTCACTCGTTTTTCTTGGATCTGATTTTCAAAAATTCAATAGTTCAAATTGTGTCACATCACTATCACATCAGTGGTGTGGCACAATTTGAGCGATTGAATCTTTGAAGAACCAATCAACTCAAGTTTTGGCCACTGTATCTAGCTGTGCAATATATAATTCATGAGAGTTGTAACGGTTAAAAAAAATAAAAAAGAACATATCATAATTTTAGCCCACAAGCTATATTGTCACCCCTCGCATTAAATTATCTGATTTTTCTTGCTATCTCCTAATTTATTATTGTTTTTCTTTCTATCTCCTAATTTATTATCGTTTTTCTTGCCATCTCCTAATTTATTATATTCACTTGTTTTTCTTAGATCTGATTTTCAAAAATTCAATAGTTCAAATTGTGTCGCATCACTATCACATCAGTGGTGTGGCACAATTTGAGCGATTGAATCTTTGAAGAATGGATCTACTCAAGTTTTGGCCACTGTATCTAGGCATGCAATATATAATTCATGAGAGTTGTAACGATTAAAAAAATAAAAAAGAACATATCATAATTTTAGCCCACAAGCTATATTGTCACCCCTCGCATTAAATTATCAAAATACTTGACATCATTATTAAGGAGTGTCCATTGAGAATTTAAACAAACCAAAGAGAAAAATATGGGAAAAAAGGGAGAATATATATATATATATATATGTTTTTCTCCAAGGAACATGACGCGATAGATTATTTTTACATGAACTTTTTCTAAAAAGAATACTTGAGGGTGATACATGATCAATTCTCAAATAAACAAAATTCAACAAGAACCTTAACATTGAGCACACTCAAGAGATGTTGGTAAGATAAACAAGTCAAAGAGTTAATGTTCAAAATACAACAGAAGCTGATAATAAACTATTATAGTAAGGCTTATAATTTTTATTAAGTATTTTATAAGTATGTTATGAATAAACTAATAAACTATTAAGGTGATAATATATTTTTGTTAAGTGCTTTATAAGTATGTTTTGAATAAAGTCAGTTACAAGGATCACAATTTCCTTATAGTATTATATTATTCTTTATATTCTGACGATCTAAATAAAGTATGTTTTTAGATCACCAATCAAGAAGGGAAAACTTATATGTTTAAAACCACAATTATTGCAATGGATTTGGATAACCTGATACAAACATGCTTTCTTGTATATAATTATATGAGTTTTTTCTAATGGGTGCTTATTGGGCACTCGTTAAAGTATTTAAAATTCACATAACCTATCATGTATACACATACTAACAATTATTATCTTCCCTTGCTTCTATATATTTACCCTATTTAATTTTATCTACAATCTCTTATATTTATTTACTTTTCCTAATTAAGCTCACAATTTAAAAAATATGATACCTAAAATATATTTTAACGAGTGCCTATTAGGCACCAATTAGACAGACCCAATAATTATTTATCAATTAAAGCATCATTCTTACTTTCCTTTCTTGTTCTAAGACTTTTGCTTTTCTAGTGGCATTACAAAAGTAGAAATTTGTATCCTCTTTTCCTTATCCTTTTATTCAATTTCTTTTCATCCACTAATTAAATTTCGTAAAATCTTCTTTAATAAATTGAATTCAAAGTTTCCGGCAATTAATATCCAAATTCTATTGGCTGCCTTTCCAAGTATTCATATTTTGACCTTAGATTTTAGATTAAAAATTTTTAATTTGCATTTACCTCAGTTGTTGGCAGCAGGGGAAGCGGAAGTAGTCAAACGTTGAATTAGCTTAAACGAGTTGTGCAACTATTTGAAAAAATTTTAAACGTGAGCAGACAAGGACCGAAGGCAGTATTTGTAGGGATGGATCAGGGAAAGGGGCAGGAAGGAGCCACCGCCCCCTCAAGTTTTAGAAAACTTGATTTTGGTCCCACTAAGAATTGAAAAACTTTCAAAAATTTTTTTTTTTTTGTAGAAATTACCTTGTTTGGATTGTAGTTTTTGTGATTTTTTAAAAAAGTTTTCATAAGAATATTTATTTGCACGTTTTTAATCATTTTTTTTTTATTTCACACACATCACATTTTCAAAAAATACTATAATATATTTTTCTACAGAAACTCCTGAAAAGGACAATCCAAACGAGAACCTTTCCTCGTGGAAACATTCTAGAATGTTTTATGTTATATACTTAAATTTGGATATATTAAAATTGACTCATTCAACATAACTTTTTGGTTCCTTCTATAGATATTTGGTCGCGTTCAAGAACCAAAAAAATGAAGATGGAATTCAATTTGCTATTTTTTTTTTAATTTTTCTAGTGTTAATACTGCTTTTCATACGGCAATAATATAAGCCAACATACAGAAAGTTACGTGGGATTTAAGCTACAAACAAAAGTAATATAAAATTTCACATTAGCTCGGGTTCAATTAGAAGTAAAATACTGAAAATGGTATATAATTTGGAACTAGATTTCATAGAATATATGTGTGTGTGTGTATATATATATATATAAACACTTTTCTTTTCTGACAAAATAATACAAGCCTAACTGATCACGACGTTGATATTTATTGAGTTGAAGGGACCTTTGCTTTGACCCAACTCTCCTCATCTTCCTATATTTATAAGCCACAACTTTTTTTCTCACAAAAAGTCAAGAACTCACATATAGTTGGATTAAACACTCGGAAAACATCACAGAACGGCCCAAACGAGCAATCTAAAGTGAGACTCACGAAATAACCGGATTCAGCTAATTGATTTATAAGTCACAACTTATTTCGACATTTTTTATTTTTCATAGAATCTTCGGAGCTTTCCTAGCTCCCCCCCCCCACCCCCAAACACACACACAGAGATATATAAATATATATATAAACAGTTATTAAACCCAGTCCAACTCGATAGTTTTTCTAATTAATCTTGTGAATGGACCACTTAATTGGACTGAGTTGGTAATTAGACTGGATATGAAACAAACCTCTAAACTAGACAAATATCTGTCGGTTCAATAAGAAAAAACTCGGTCCATTCAACCACTAATTCAATAATTATATATTACTCCTTCCGTGTCACTTTGATAGTACTATTTCTTTTTTCACACAGTTTAAAAAAAAGTAGTTAACTTTGTTGAAAAAGTAAATTTAAATTGCTATTTTTCTAAAATACCCTCACATTAAATATGGTACAACTTTATGGGAACTTGAATTGATGGTAAAAAAAGAATTAACTCTCATTAAATGGGGTAGGTTTATAGTAACAACTACTTACATTGAATAAGAGTATTTTAGAAAAATTAAATTATAACTATATTTTTTAATTGAAAAGTAGACTATAATTTGGCACAGATGAAAAAGGACTGTCAACGTGAGACAGAGGGAGTATTTTACATAACTAAATGTATTAGTATTTATTTATTAGTATAGAACCATAGGTACCCTTTATTGCGCTGAGATCCCGCTGAGGCCGGGTTTATTTACTACCCGGCAGACAACCCAAATCACAATTGATACCTCCCAGGGACAGCTTTCCCACGCGCTTCCGTTTTGTCCAACTCCCAAGGACAGGTTTCCCACGCGCTTATTTACTCCGTTTTGTGACTTTTGTCCAATTCCTGCGCGAATTAGGATTTGTACTACAGTTCCAATTTGTATAACCCAAAAGCAAATAATCATTAGACTGCTTAGTGAACCTTTCCAAAAAGGAAGCCGCTTTAAATTCCACCGTTCTTGATCACTCTGTTTTCCAGGAGTCCTTCCTTGAATTTCTGCAGAAAACATACATGTTGTCGAAATAAAACAAAGAAACCAAGAAAGATTTGGGGATTTCAAGGTTGAAATCCCATCTTTGTTGATTCGTTTGTTGTCAATCTTGACGGGTTTTTGTCGAGAAATACAACTGGGTTGAATTCGTTGGCTGGCAATTCTTAAAATTAGCGCACGAATTGAATGCTTTTGAGGTGTTTGTGAAAAGGGCTGAGAGAATTCTTCTCAATCCCGATTCCAATCATGCCTTTTCCGTGGAAGAAGGTGAAGAATACCAAGATTTCGCAATTGGTAACTGATCATCTTGACTCGCAGAGGCGTCTCGGCGGACCACCGCTGGTGGTGGAAACCGGTTTCCCAACTTCCCTGGTTGATATAGTTGTCAGGAATCGTCAGAGATTTAAGAAGTCGTCCAAGATGAGAAAGAACGAAACCAATTCTTCGATATTGACATCCCCTCCGCCGTCGCCTTTGTCTTCTCCACCTCCGGAGCTTTCTTCTTCGTCATCGTCTTCATCTTCGCCTCTGCCTTCGACCCTTTTGAGTACTACGGTGGAGGAAACTCGTGGAGAATCCGTCAATGAGCTTAAAAAGGAGGATGAGAATTTCAAAGGGGTTTTACTGGCGGTTTTGAGGATGTCTTTTGTGGTGGTTTTGGCGTTGGGGACTAAGAAATTCGCTTTGGGGCTAACTATGTCGGCATTCTTCTTGTTCTTTGTAGAGTATGTGGGGATTCATGTTTATAGATTGTTTATTCCCTGTTCTGAGGCAAAGAAGAGGCTGAGATTGATGGTTTTGAAATTTCTCAGAATTGGGAAGCAAAAGGGAGAGAATTTAGGGTTTAAGGTGTCCCTGGACCAAGAGGGGCAACAGGAGACATATAAGTCAGGTGGTTCTGATTTCCAGGATCAGAGATCGATTGATCCAGTTGGCAAAGTTGAGATTATTCAGCCGATGAGATTCTTGGAGCCCTTTCTTGAAGATATACAATCTCAGGAGAAGAAATCTGATGAATTCAGTTGTGATGGAAAGTTGGATCTTCAAGGATCAGACTCGGAGGTGGTGGTTTTGGAGAATAAAGAGGAGCACAGCTGTGAAGTTAAGAAAAGAAAATCACGCAGAGCCAAGATGAAAACCAAGATGAAGCACATGTTTTCAAGAAAATCAAGAAGGGCGAAGAAAGAAGAAGGAAAATTGGAAGGTGAAATAAGTCCAATTGGAGAGGAAAATGTGATGATATCTGAAGAACAAGACAGCGAATATGGGAATGGAGGAGAGCAAAAATCTAGCAGCGATTTATCATCCATTTCAATTGGAAGCTGTGAAGGGGAAGAGGCATTGAATATCATCTCCAGTTCTGGTGTACTGCTGGAGGAGGGGGATGTCGATGGAGTTGTTAGCAGGGAAGGGGAGGAAATCCAGAACAAGGGAAATTCTGGGTATTTGATGCTCTGTTTAATTGTTCTCATTGGACTTTTTGGAGGCAAGATATCTGCATTGATGTTCATCTTGTCCTGGTGCTTTCTGAAGAAATCTGGTGGAAAGTTAGTTAGATGCTTAACTTGGCCTGTGATCAGGTTTTTTAACCCAAATGCTTAGTTGGAACATTCGGTGTTCTTGACTGTTAGTGTTGGCGTTTTCATAAATTTTGGCTCATCTTTCATTTGCTCCTAATGGAGTCTTCTTGTGAAGCTCTGTTTTTGTTCTATGATGTTACGTTTGACAGAATCTTCAACCTTTGGTTGGTCCTGAACCTGAAGTGTTGTACATTGAACTGTAAATCTGCAACAATCAAATATAATATATGATACTCATTTCTTGAATTACAATGACAAGTCTGCTTTGAGTGATGCTATAAAAGTCGATTTTTCTTGTAATTGCCCGAACGTTTAAGGGGTCTTATTGATCAGGCTAATGCCCTACATCTTGTGTCTTATCTTTGATAACCAGCACAGAATTGGGTTAGGTAAGATGGCATTTTGTAGGTCCAGAATTTAGTGTGGCGGCTTTCTGCTCTCCACCTGCATTCTAGTGTTTCTGCATAAAAGAATAAAGAATTACAAGCATCTGAAGATGAGATGCTGCAGGGATGTTTCCTCAGTGTTATTATATGTTTTTATCCGAGATCAAGGTTCATTGGTGTATTATAAGGTTGAAAGGCTTCTCCATTGCACTTGTAACTCATTGGTGGATTCTCTTCTTTGTCAAAAAATATTGCTCTTTTCTTCGTTGAGTTGCCATCCTTGTCTGATATGTCATGTTGTTTCAATTATATCATTGTTCTGCCAAGAACGCTAAAGGATAGAAGTTTACAAGTGTCCCTCAACTATTTATGATTTGGAACAATGGTAGCGCTGCTACAGACATTTGTGTGGTAGCGTTGCAGACAAACTTACGGACGCTGTACCTACCGGTTACCTAGTTTTACACTTTTTTCCTTTTTATTTTGCTTCTTTTTGGGCGCTAAAATTCCTTTGCTTTTCCTGGCTTAAACAAGAACAATGCCATGCTCGGAGATTGAGACTAGTTATGGTTATCTGCCATTCGTTGAAAATAATCACAAATTAGTAGACTACAATGAATCTTGAAAAATGAATAACCCAATTGGAAATCTGTTTTAAGCCATTAAATATGGTTCGACAATTAGATTTACAAAAGTTTCATCACAAACCATTGGTGAAAGAACTCTACCTCACACAACTATCGATATCTAATTTAGTCATGCAGAATCTTCTTTTTCTAGAAAAACTTTGAATTCCTTCTGTTGGAAATCAAAGACGAGCAAAATCGGGTTACCTTACACTAAAGCTTTGGTCGCAGCGAATTTTTCAGATTCAATATTCCAGCTGAATCACATGCTCTTGGTCGGGTGTGAATCACAGTGGAAATCACACGCTTTTCACAATCCAAATTCTAGATTATAATTTTTTTTTTAGTTCTTCTATTTTCTAGAGGAGGAGAAAACTGAAAGAAAGACTCGAAAGCTTACTCTTATTCTTGCTTCTTCTATCAATTCTTAGAGAGACATTTGTTGGTCTTTATTCCTTTCCTTTTTTTTTTTTCGGTCGGGTGGTGGAAAAGGTTATCTATTTACTCCTTTTCCTTTCTTTTTGTTTTGTTTCTACTTTCACGTAGAAACCGAGTTGGACAACCCATCATGGGCGTCCACCTATTTTTCCCACACCTTCTAATTGGTCATTGGTTACAAAACAAAACAGAATAACTTAGTTTGAAGTTAGATACAAAGATTGGTTCGATGTACAATTATAAGTCTCAATTTATGGTTTAAAGGAAATTGAGGCAAATGTTGTTAGGTAAAAAGGGTAGGAATTGCGTGATTGGAATAAGGTGCATGAAGAAGTTATAGAAGAATTGAAAACTTTGAAGATAGTGTGGTGGTGAGAGAAGGGGAGGAGAGGGAAGTACAAGGATGGAAGGGAAGGGAGAAAGAGTGACTCAAAAATATAATTGGAGAGTATCAAAATAAGTGAAAAGTTAACCAAATTAACCAACGGTTTTTAGGCTATTGGCCATCACTAAATTCTTAAGGTTTGATGGGATGAGAGGTTAAGAATTTAAACCTTACTTCCCACTAATTGTCATTATACGTGGCTTCTCTAGATAATCTACATAGACGATGACAAAAAAAAAAAAAAAAAAAGAGTGAAAAGTTGAAAGAGTCTAGAGACTTAGACGAAAAGTAGGAAACCGTGTGAGTTGGGAAAGCAAGAGAGGATAAAATGTAAAGTTTTGGGACAAGATAAGTATCACCGGATGAGAAAGTAGCCCATCCCCTTAAAAATTGATGTGTGGCTAATAATGGTCCGTCATTTTCCTTATGGGCTGATTTGGTATTTGGATATCTTTTGAAAACAAGATAGAGAAATTTTGCCATCATATTTACATAGGCCTCCATCTACATTGCTATTAATGGCTTTCTTTTTATTTTTATGTTTAGGAAAAACTTTCATATCCTTTTTATTTCTTTTTTTTCAGAATCTATACATATTTCAAAGAAACTATAACATCGTAAGATAAAGGTAAAACAATTAGTGTTTCAAATATGAATTTTGATATGTTAATTATATTTCATGACTTAATTGTGTCATAATCACTTCAGAGTATCATATACTAAAAATTTAAGAACTGTATTTATTTTTCTTTTAGCAAATTTGAAAGGTTTCGTTTGGTGCTATAATGATGGATAGTTTTAGCTTTGGTCGAAAAAGGTGAAGAATAATTATGGATTGGATATTGAAGTTAAGCATGAATTGCAAAGATACTATTAGATCATGGGGTGGACAAGTACGTTTCCTCTATGAAACTGTTAAATATTTATATAAGCATGTTTATAAATGCCGAAGAGGCCTTGGTCCAATTGTTAAGGTAGAGACTTTAGGGTTTAGAATTCTTGGGTTCAAAAAAATAATCTAATTTAATATTTCAAATATTCATGTTGTTCTTGACTTCTTAATTTTTAATGAATTAAAAATTTATCTAAAAAAATTTTACATTAGGTAGTTTTTATAGAAGGTTTCAATAAATTACAATATATTTTGCTTTGTATCTTGATTTCAAGAAATTCAATCAAGTGCGTCCTATGTTAAAACACAAGAATGAAGCAATGAAGCAAGTTTGCATATTTTCAAAAATATATATGCAAGGGTCCTGAAAAGAGTCACAGGTACAATTGTTGCAAACACTGTTGAAAATTAAATGTCAAAGAAAAATATGCCTACATCTTTCAAGCATAATTATAAATTTAGATAAGCATTAATATTTATGTAGTTGTACAAAACTTTCATGCACTCTTAGTTTAAATTGCATTCAATATTGTAAGGATTTTAGATAATTTTTAATTAACTATTATATATTTATTTTAAATTTTAATTATTTTTTAAATTTGGTTATAAAGTCAGTTAGGAATTAAACCAAAGCACGATAGACTCCAGAGTTCAAGAAGCAAAGCATCCGAGATTGAAGTTTGGGGAGCTAAATGAAAACTCGCATAAAGTTTCACAGTGCAAATTAAAACTTGCCTGTACATGTCTACAGAGAAAATTTCAATATCATTTGCCTAAATATGAATTTAAAGTGCACTAGACGATCTTAAAATTTCTGTAAAGTCTAATTCTCTTCAAAAGTTGAGGGTAATTTGGCTCTTCAAGAGTTGAGAGCAATTTGAGGTGTTGTAAGGAGTTTCAGCCTCTAGCATGAAGGGAAATTTCGCTAACAGACATCTCCCTTCTATATGCCCTTGTACGTATGGTTCTCCTTATATCCCGTTAGCACAAATTATGTATGGCATCCTCAGTTTTATTGTAGGCATACTAACTCGGTAAAAGGATTTTGCATCACTAGTTCAAATTTCCCCTTTTCCACTCCGCCCCTTACCTCGGAGGCTAAATATACCAAGAACTTCATATCCCCAATTTGGTTTATTTTACTCAAGAGAAAAGAAAGAGGGTTTCAATTCTTAATTGCTTCAAGAGAACCTAGCATTGTCCTGGGTAAGTTATCCTCATATATACATTTATTTACAGGAAAATGTTTCATGTTCTTGAGATGATCGTTCAATACTCTTTCTGTTTCCATTTTTCAAGATATGAAACTTTTCACTCTAAATTTCATGTGTATTCAAAATTCTTCCTCAAGTGATCAGCCCCAGAAAGGATTAATCCGATTTAAATTCATAAAGTTTATTTTCCTAAAATTCCTTGCATGTTATAAATCACTTGATTTTGCATGAACTGCATGAACTGTTTTATGGTTAATTATCATTGTATGAGACATTCTATGCGATCCTCGAGGAGCAAATTCCAATGAAGCTTATAGTTTTCCAACATTAACTGGGGGGAGACAAAGAAAAACAAATGTGTGGATTTTCGATGCATTAGTTGTCTCCCTTCCTGCATGAAATGGTGACATTTTTATCGCATTATGTAATACAAAACTTACCTATTCAAAAGCCAGTGAATGATGTGAAAAATTCATGCATCATCTTATGTACACAGAAACAGATTTAATGACAAAAATGGATATCATACCATGAATTGTTGTCAAGTGGCATCTGCCTTGTGTACATTCCGCATCATAGTAAACTCGTTTCTTTCTCTCTTTTCTTTTTAATCCCTTTAACTTGCTGTTAGATTATACAAACGAAGAATGATGAATTCAACTTCAGATTGTATGATAATATTTACGTCAAATTAGTGGCCTTATTGCACCTCAATGTTCTCACCAGCAAAAGAAAAATAAACGAATAAATAACAGAGAAAAGTATTGCTTTATGAGTCCTCCTTTTTCTTTTGTGCTTGATTATGTATTATGCTCGTTTCTTCCCCTGCCTTAATGTGGTCCATAATGATGCAAAGCGTCATATGGGAATTTTCTTTCATTTTTCTCTTGGCTAAGAGTTTTATTTGCTACTAACTTCATTTTTAAAGGTGCCAAGATGGTCGCACAAGGCTTCACTGTGGATTTGAACAAGCCACTTGTTTTCCAGGTTAGATTTCGTACGACTTCAGTTTCTAACCATTAAACTTTGTAGTTGATAATGCATATAATATTACCTGATTTTTTAACAACCAAGTCCAGCT